GCGGCTCCATTTGTAAAATCATGACCATTAAAGAGCTTACTGAACTATTTACCGAGTTTTACGTAACCCAAGTATAGATAAAAAGAATAACACTGATTAAAACCTTCAGTTCTCATTTACAAAGCAAAGCAGTGCAACATTAATAGAAACATACATTGTCTCTTCCAGTATAATAATTTAATTATAAGCATAGCTTAAAAACGCTAGTTATGCATCAGAAGGATTTTCCTTGAATAGTTTCATAAGAAACCTTCTTTAGGCTGATGCTTGAAGAAAGAGAAAGACTTACGAATTTTTAACAAAACCTAATTTGTAGGGTTCTAATCGTGAAATAATAAGTCAATGTTCTCCTAACCTTACTAGAGTGACAAGCGAATTATCGCTTAGTCTGAATTAAGACGGCAAATTCATACGAAGTTTAAAATAATCTTTTTTTTCAATCTTGAAATTTAAACAGAAGGCACCACTAGAGCGTACAAAACAAAATTCCACCCCTTTCGGGCATTTGGAACAACATAAAATGAATTCGATTTCAAGCTACGTCAAAGACCACACAAAATGGTTTATTTTAGCTTGCTCAAGCAATTAACAGCGCGCTTTTAACGTCGGCAAGCAAAATGGCTAAAGCCGGATTATCTTTGGCACAGCTGGCGATAAGACTTTAATTCCAGGAGACAAGGCTAATAAAAGGCCTCAGGTGTACTTAAGATGTAATTTTAAAGGTGTATATTTTTAAATTCAAATAGAATTTTAGAGCCTGTAACAAAGATGATTGTATTGTTGTAAATTTCTGTAAGTATCTGAGTCTGTTTGATTACATTTGGATTGCTGTTAATCGTCATAATGTTGTGTACTCTTTTTATTCATTTATTTGTATTTTAAGTAATAATTTTATCACATATTTTTGTTTAACCAAATTCGTAGCCGTGTATTTTGCACAGAAGTTCTTGTTTCCTTTACAGGCTCCTTTATGTACATCTTCGTATTTTCAATCCATAAATATTTAAACTGAAAAGAAAATCTTAGACGAAAACTAGGCAGAAACTTTCTTGACTGAAAATTATCGGCGCGTTGCTAACATTGTCGATTTCTTGGCAATCTGGCGACTTTGCGGAAGTTTCTGAAAAACGCCTTTTCGAAGCCGTAGGAGAGTTTTCTCCCCCCCCCCAGAAACTTCCAGAAAGCCCTACAATCCCATATAAATACGACTCCAAGAGCCAGAAAAACAGTTACTTCAGTTATTAACTTCGTTCAAAGGGTGAATCCTAAATTCAGTACTGTGTTTTAGAGTTTACTCTGCGAGTTATCAGAAATCTTCGATTTTCTAATGCATTAAGAAGAATTTAGCTTATCTCTATGTTCTACCTGAGCTATTTGCAGATGTATATTTTGCTTTTAGTTAATATTTATCTCAATAAAGTATTAATTTATTCCAACTCATCTGTGTAGGTACTGAATGCACGTCCACGAGGCCGTAGTTCCCAATTTTTTACATCAAAGACTTATGAAAACAGTTATGATTCACTATACTTCGGTAATCGGACGAAAGCCGGTACTTTCCACATGATATAGCCGCTGACATGATTCACTATACAATAAATCTAACAGAGATCAAAGCAATAGTATCTACAAAGGAATCTAACCGTTGTAATATTAAGAATCATTGTTGTAATCTAAACATCGAGGCCATAACACAATTTTAAAAGCAATTTTGTTTTTTTCTGTGCTAAATTGCACACTTATAAACAACACAACTTTTATCTAAATACCGTACATTCCGGCGTATAATGCGCACTTTTAATACAAAATAAAACTCGAAAAAAAAAAAAAAAAAAAGGAAAGCTTTCAGATTTTAAATTACACACAAAGAGAGATTTTTTTAACGTTTCCTGTGTTACCGTTATTAAATATTATGTTCTTCGCAATTAAAACATAAAATTCAATTCAACAGCAGTATCCCAAAATAATTTTAAAAGAGCATATCTTTAGAATTCTCGATACACAGTCTCGCGCGCTGGAGATATTTTTTTTTTTCGTACAGTGTTGCCACTGCTCGTTTTGAAATCGTTGAGTTTTTTAATCAAAAACGCATTAAATGTTTACAAATATGAAACAGATAATAAAACAAATCCAAATTTGAGCTTCCAAACGCCCATATTCGAGTGGAGGACTACATTACTCAAAATTAGATATCTCTAAGTACCGTTGTTCTTCACTCCACGAGAAACATACATACATTCATGCAGATACTTCATTATTTAATTTCTTTAAATATAATGCGGGTCTCTAATATTTGGCGACAATTTGAAAAGTGAAACACCGTTTATAGTGAACCAAAGCAAAATGCCAAAACGAATTTATATCCTTTCTGAGCAAATTGCCCCTTTGGTTTTGCTAATAAGATCAACATTTACGGATGCACTTTGTACGTCGGATATAAGAATGATAGATTTAAAAATAAGGAAAAGATCAGCATACAAAAATTATATTTCTGCATGTACTTAAATGCTGTTTGTTTAAATGAAATCACACTCCTTATGAACTTTAAAATATCCTTATCTGATAACAAGAAAATTTCGACGCATTCACCTTCCGTTATATCTTCAGGCACATCATCGAATTCTGTTTCGTCTTCACTACCACCGTTATTCTGGTCTATAAATAAATAATCATCTATCGTTCCATCCACATTCTTAGATACATTACACTTTTTTAAACGACTTTTGATTTATATCGGGTTTAATTTTCTTCCATGCTTTTATAATCGACTCGCACACTATTTTCACACACTATAATTTGATAGATTAGCATGACGCAGTTGGCATTACTTTGGCTTCCTTGCCTTCGATGTTCATTTCTATATTACGGCTTCAAATGACTACAGAAAGAGAAATTTATCTAAACTACTGATTCCGCGACTCCATTCGATTCGGAAGTGTATTCTCACCTACAATAATGTCCCTCTTTCCTTGAAACACTAGAATAACATTCTTGTGCACATCTGCATTAAATACAACGGTCCCGTTTTGCAGAATGTTTTATCCCTCAAGCGTTTCCCTCCACGCAAACATTGTTGCCTTTATCGCTTTATCACTTCAGAATACCGCTGTTCCAAAAGCTGGAAATATTCTTCGAATGAAGGATTTCAAAAGGTAACAGCATTGCATATATATCTTTCAGCTTATTTTCGTGAAAAAGGAGTGTACGTTATTCGGCGAATGTAGCTAAAAACAAAAAAATTTAGTTCGAACCATAATACGATAAATTCATTTTAACATTTGAAATAGATCGCGCAGAAATAGCAAGGTTTAGATAGTTCAATAAAGTGAATTATCAGTATCATACCTTGTTTCAGTTGATTGTATTTTTAAGGAAGTCATTCAAATTTACAAAGGTAATGTGGGAACGGTAACTGTAACTAAGATTATGTAAGAGCGCCATCTAGATTAGGGTATGGTCAGATGAGATGAGACGTGAACGATAGTGAGGACAGACGTGTCGAAAATGTTTTGACGATTATTCTTTTTGCTTTTCTTTTCATTCTAATGTAAATAAATAAATCCTAATTTAACTTCCTGAGTTGTAGTTGTGCTTATCATCAATCCTTCCCCATATTTTGATGCCAAAAGTGGTTTGTTTCCGATTCCGTGCCTATAGTTGGATTGTGCCAATAAACACGTCTTCAGAAGAAAATTTTGAAAAGTTAAAACGAAAGCGTAGTATTGAAAGAAGCAGTACTACTAAACTAATTTCAAGAATTGATGTTGCTTTAACAGATGAAAATGTTACATGTGATATCTTAAACGAACATCTAGAAGTTTTAATAGAGAAAATGAATAAACTAAAGTGCTTAGATAATCAAATTGAACATTTCATTGATGTAAACTCAATTGAGGAAGAAGTAAAACACTAGTACTGGTTACCAAGAAAAATGTCTCAGGTCTACTAACAAACTTAAACGCTTATTGAAACAGAAAGAGAGTTTTACTAACTCGTCGACATCTGAAAAACTGTTACGTATTCCGAATGATAGTTTAAATTTACCCTCTTCAGTTAAACTTCCTAATAATCAAACCGTATTCAGGAGATCCGAAATTGTGGAATGAATTCTGGAATTCGTTCGAAACCACTATCGATCGAAATGATTCACTTTCGAAAATTGAAAAGTTTGCCTATTTTAAAACATACTTGACTGGGAGGAGCTTTAAGTGTAGTATCTGCTTTTCAATTAACTGATAAAAATTACGACAACTATGTAAAGTTACTTAAAGATCGTTTTGGTCGAAAAGATATTATAATTGATTCTTTTATGAGTAAACTTTTAAAATTGTAAAGTGTTAAAAATTCTTCAAATGTTCCAGCTTCGAGAAAGGTATATGATGAGCTCGTCGATAATAAGCATAACTACAATTCGTGAAGTTAAACTAGGATTGATTTATTTACAATAGAATAAGAAAGTGATTTATTTACATTAGAAATTGATTTATTTACATTAGAAAAGTAAAAAGAATAATCGTCAAAACATTTTGGGCACGTCTGTCCTCACTATCGTTCACCTTTCATCTCATCTGACCACACTCTAATCTAGATGACACTCTTACATAATCTTAGTTACAGTTACCAGTTCCCACAGTAATAAATTAATTCTTCCCCTCAAATAAATTCATTACTCTAACGCGTAAAAAAACTTGATGTCTCTTATCAGCTTTTTAATTTGAAAAAATGTAATACAGTACAACTCCATTTATCCGAACTCCGACTACAGGAATCGCTGATTATCCGAATCGCTTTCAGGATTTCAGAATCAACTGATGAAGAGAAGGAAAAGGAGAAAAAGAAGCTCAAGTAAAGGAAAGGGAAGTGACAGAAGATGAGGATGACGTGTCAGTTTGAGGAATTAAGGAACATTCTTTTAAAAATTCATGGATGTTCAGAAGGTCGTGCTGAGGATACAGCAGAATGGATGGTGTGTGATTCGTCAGACCTTGGGTTTCAAATTTTAAATGATGAGCTTATTGAAAGTGTGAGAGAAGAAAGTGTCAAGTAAGAAGATAACCTTCATGTCGAAATTGAAGCAGACACTGGATCATAAGCTAGGGAAGCGTTTGCCGGCCTTGAAACTGCGCTGAAGTGGAGGAAGCTTCAGTCCGAGTGTGACCACATGCAACTTCTGCGGACGCGCGACTTGGCTGTCCGAAAGCGGATGAAGACAGTCAAACAGCTCACTTTGAACGAGATGCTCCGCAGGTAATGTCTTTCAAGCACTTGCAAGTAATGTACAGTAACCTATATAACATGTACGTAAAAGTGTTCGCCTTTCCATTTTAATTAATTAAAACCACTTTTTCTTTAAAAATAGTTTTTCCTTCCATTATCAACATACAATACATACAGTAATTAATTAAAATGTATATAAACCCTTTGTTCGGAAAACATCGAATTATCCGAATTTTTTATTATCCGAATGGGGTCTGGTCCCAGTTGATTCGGATAATTGGAGGTCTACTGTATTTATAAAAATATTTATTTTAATTTATTTCTGTTTTATGAAGTTCTTTTATTAAAATGTGTTTTAAACTTGTTTTTTTATTTTTAAAAAAAATTAGACTGGGGAATATTTTCTCCATTGTGTATGTGGATGAATTCGTGGTAGATCGGGAAGCTAGATTTTATATTACGTCCAAAGGGGGTGTTTTTTAACATTTTATGTGTTACCTTTATTTATTAAATACCATGTTTTTCGCAATTAAAACATAAAATTCAATAGCAATATTACAAAATAATTTAAAAACAGCATATCTTTAGACTGGCCGAAGAATTCATGGTGGATCAAAACAGGCGCGACCATAACCCTGCCGCAGGCGTTCCAGAAGTTGCGGTTCCTGACAACACAGAACACTGCCTGGTAAGTATCACTCGCTTTGATTTGACTCTTATTATTCAGTACAAATTAAATATACTAAATAATCGAACATGGGATCTCTAAACGAGCTCGACGTTCTAACTGTTATATCTTAAGAAACACATAAGAGAAAGGCTTCGTATGTCAGAAATTTTAGCTTAATGGTCATAAACGGCATAAGCTGAACTCCGTTACTAGGCAATAAGGTCTTAGCATGTCACGATAGCTGGTGCAAAGATTTTGCCGAAATGTTCTAATTTTTCAACCTTAAGACGGATGGTAGAGGTAAATGTAAAAGCATCCGATCGTTATAAATTAAGAGGTATACTTCCAACTTTCTTTTCTGATGTAGAGCTGTGTTACTTCCCACCACAGATCCAGCTTCAGCAGCCCATCATGCGCATTCCAGGCAATAAGATCTTAATACCTGGCACTCTGAATGAAAGAAATGCATTATTAAGGATAACAGTAACACACTGAACTAAGTGTACTTGTAGGTATACTTGGTCAATCGCAGAACAGGACACTAGACAGAGGAGACAAACTGACCTAGGCTATGAAAAGCTCTTTACATGGCATCAACCTCAATATCTGGAAGCGATCCACGGAGGCGCCACTCCCATGGTCAACATCCGATGTCAAATATGAACAACGCCAGATCGTGAAATGCAAGAGAAAGGCAATTGGATTCCGGCCGGTCGCCTATAAAGAGAATGTAACTTATTCATTCAACTTATCATGCGCTTAGTATCAAGTATCCTGGCATTAGCATAAATTTATACATCTAGCACCTAGTATCATAAATCTCGCAAAATCTTAGTTATGTAACTTATTCTGGATTCAATATCATGTATCCTGACACCTGCATATATAATCTCGTATCATCCTGTAGCATGTAACATATTCTGCACCATGTATCATGTATCTTGGTATCTGCCTATATTAGTACCTTCTGCACCTTGCATCATATATCTTGCAACATCCTGAAATACGTAACCTATGTTGTAAAATGTAACCCTGTATGTTTTAACAAATATCTCGTATCATCCTGTAATATATATGTCATATTTCTCGTATCATCGTGTAATATGTATCATACATCTTGTATCATCCTTTAATATGTAAGCTATTCTGAACCTTCTGTTCTTAAGAATGTGTATGTCACCTTATGCTTGTCCTTATATGTGTCACCTTACGTATCTTTTGCACCTTGTGTTCTACGTATCATGCATCCTGGCATCTACCAATATTTGTATCTTCTGCACATTGTAACATATATCCCGCATAATTCTGTATCATGCATCTTATTTCGCACTTTCTACCATGTATCCTGGCACTTATATCACTCTGCACCTCGTATCATGCATCTGCAGATATCTGTATCCACAGCATCTTGTATCATATATCTCGCAACATCCTGTAACATGTAACTTATTCTGCACCTATATATCTTATATTCATAAGTATGTGTACGCCACCCAATGTGTGTCATCTTAGATATGTTCTTATGAATGTCCCCTTATACATCTCATGCACCCCATGTTCCTACGTAACATGTATTTAGGTATCTGAATATATATGTATCTTCTGCACAGTCTATCTGTAGCCACTGTATGTTCTTATGTATCATGTATCTAGGCAATAAATAAAGGTGAACTATACCGATTAACCGTATTGGTAGAGGGGTGGTGCCCACGTCCTCCGTCGCATGTCGCCTATAAAGAGAATGAAGAACACAAAGTCAACGTCTGTCACCCAATATGGACCAGCGGAGGCTAAAAACCATGGACAACCTTAGCAATATCAAACATGTAGCGACAGCCCGAGTCAGATTTAATAGTACCAGTATGGTTCCTCCTGAGTCTGTACGAACTACCGAACAGTCGATGGTTCTAGTCCTGTGAAAATCTACTTACTCCAGAAGCCGCATCTGTCTAAGTAGAGATCTTAGCTAGAACGCCGAGGATTGCCCTCCAGTAGATCCCCGGGAGGGGGGATCGATTAATCACAATAAAGTCAGCAAAATAAGCAAGCTGAAGGAACGGGCAAGTAAAGAAGAATGTTAAATACCGTTACTTTGAGTAGTCATTATTTTATGTTTTTTGGCTACAATTCTGTTCAAAACTCTAACATCCTGTTTAGAGAACTTCCTTTTACCATAGCAATTACTCCTGATGAATTTCTTAGTTTATCTAAATATAGACAAATGATCTGCTGTCTTCGTAATAAATACACCGACCCGATGAACGCAAACGATTTGACCTTACTTTTGCGCACGAGAGCGAGCCCGTTTAGCATGTTAGTTCTAAACAGAGAACATCATCTATGGACAAAGGATCCGTGAAAGGTCGTTCTCTTCACAGGATAAGTCCCAATTACGCCTAGCCACTGATTCGGTGCGTATCTTCATCTGGAGAAGGCCGAAGACCTCAAGGAAGGTTCTAAGCATCATTGGAGAATTATTCTCTTTACAGATGCGTTCCGATTCAATCTAAACACTCGTTCAATAATGTACCTTTATCTATAGAGAATCAGGGACCCATCATCCGTCCTGCAACAGCCGAGTAAGAATACTGTTTTGAAGGTGAAGCGAGCGATTTGAAAGTAACAAACACTTAATGGTCAGAGCAGTCATCATGGTGCACGTCTGCACGCAAGACAGCCCGTTTAGTACGTTGCAAAGAACATCTACTTTGGATTTTAAGTGTCAGTGGAGAACTTCTCTCTTCGCAGATGAGTTCCGATTCAGTCTTACTCGTACCTGTCCTCCAAGTTCCAAGAAAGGAATCTCTGCAGAGGACGTTTGATCGTCAGGGAAGACATCATGTTGAACTGGTGCGACATATAGGAAATAAAGCTTTGTGCACGTCTTTTTAGTACTGCAGTTGGCCCTCAATTCATTTTTATGAACGATTACACTCGTTCACGTAGGTCTAATCTAGCTGATGATTTTCTGGGAAGTAATCTTTTCACAGGCTACTACTGTGGATAAAATTCAAAATCTTTCAGTATTTGGAATCAGAAATGCATAAGCTGGCTTGAAATTTGAAGTACTATTTTCTCCAAGCGTTTTAAATTCATTTGACAGCACCTGCTGTTTCTAAAACAACATAAAAAATAAACAAGTTAGTATACATACCCAAATTTCCTGCTATAAATGGCGTTTCGAATGGTAATTTTGTTTTATTAAAAAATGCCTTAATTTTATGTGGCGATTTTTTGACCAACAAGTATTTTTTGTAACAGCAATTATATGTAAAATATTTTTTAAATTTCTGTCTTTTCATTCAGTCTTCAGATAAAATTAATAATAACTACATAAATATATTACTATATAAATATAAACTATACAATTATTACTAATAATAACTATATAAATTTTTCTTTACTTTTTGCATTTTATTTATTTCAGAGTTCTTCGTCAACATATTCCAAACTGGACTTTTGGAAAGACGTTTTTACATTGTATGGGTGGTGTCTTCCATTATTTTATATACTGCAAGTGGCTACGTACATAAACACAGAAAGAAATATTGATTAATTTATTGGTTAAAGCTAAGGACGTCATCTGTTTTAAAATCTACAATACAGGCTATTGACCCTTACTGGCACGCTACCCTTTAAAGTCGGAGTTTTTATTTAAAAAAAAGGTAGGCAGTCTAATTAGGCATAGAGGAGTACACAAGTAAAATTTTGTGAAGATAGCACACATCGTTTTAATTCTATGGGTGTGCCCAAAGTGGCACACTGATTGAATAGAGCTTCAAAAAGAGTGCCAAAACGAGCATTGTTGTCAATGAACTGACCAACGAGATTCGGAGAAACAAGGAATACAGACTCTCAGTTATCCTAGATGATCGGTGAGCCCGGTCTGGGCACACCTAGGGTTCTCTGTATGACTTTAGGCAATATTTCAAGGTAAAAATTTAAAACTAATATAGAATAAGGAGATTAGCATACAGCCAAAAAAGTAACACAGATATTTCATTTCAAACAATTCCTTTTATACCCTAAAAAAATCTGGAAGATTTTTTTGAAAAATGAGGGTCTTATAAAACTAAACATGGGTAAAATATATGGACTGGTTTGTGTTGAGATGCCATCTATTATAACTAAAGAAGGTTCAGAGTAACCTATAGTAACCTATAAATCCTTTTTCATTCAATCTTTCTGTGCGTACAAAAGGAAATTTTTAGGTGTGTTCAGACCAGAAACCCTGTGCCGCAAAGTGTTAACTCAATGTGATTCCTAATTCGCATCTTGCCTTGTAATGTAAATATACATTATCGTCAAAATAAATGCAAAATTTACCTTTAGATAGATGTGGCACTCTGACAAGCATCTTTGAATACATGTATTTTACTCAAAAGTTAAATTTTTATGCAGTACATGATACTTGGAGTACGAATAGTCTAGCGATGGATGAAAGAAATGTTATAAAGTATTATTTAACTTTGGATAAACATAAATAAACTTCGTATGATTACTTTCCAACATCAAACAAATGATAAATGTTTATGTATTTATAATGGATATTTTTATTAAATAATTAAGAATGTTTGGTAAGTTTGCTAATTTTCAATTATTTAAAATATTCAATTTAAAAGAAAAATAAGAAAGAATGCTCTAAATTTTTAGCTTTCCTTTCAGACTACAGTTACCGAATATGAGCAGGACTGCAATGATTTTGAAGAATTCTCAATTTTTAAAAACTTTTCATTTTTATAAATTCTTCAAAATATTTTATTGAGCACTACGATATGTTTTGGTTGCTGAAATATAAAAAAAAAAAATCCTTTTGATACTAAGCACTACCTTTTGTCTGTTGAACTGAAGAGAACTAAAACGTAACTTGACCATAATTTTTTCGGCTGGATGCGTGTATAATTTGTGGTTGCAGGTTGCATTTCGGATTTATAATCCAGGTAATTCGATGTTTTTTCCTTTTTCAAATTTTCATTTTTACTACGTCATATTATTGCTGCATTAGAAGATTTTTCTAATTATTTTTACATTATCATTCAGATCAAAATCTGTTCTTAACCTACTTTCATTACTAGCACATATTAGGACTAATCCTACAATGGACATGTCGAAGTAATTTTTTCATTTCAAAATAATTAGTGCTCTTCTGCACCAGTTGACTATGCAGGAGTAAATATAATGAAATAAAATTATATGAAAATTTCATATGAAATAAAAATATACAAAAATTAATTTAAATGAAATAAATTCAATGCTTAATAAAGCAAAAGTAAAATATGCGCTTTAACTAATATTAAAATTTAAATTAAAAAGTAATCATTTACGAAATATATTTATAATTTACACAGGAAAAAAATTTTTAACTTACTATTGAAATACAAAGAAGAAAGGACAGTAATTCAAAAGAAAAAAGTGGACGCTAATGGTTGGAATCATTGATATTAGAATTAAGACTTTTTCTTTTTATTTTATATTCTACATATGTTTTGGGGCATCAAAATTTCATGTTTTTATCTTTTCATGTGTTAGATTACTTGCGTTTACATGCTTTGTTTCTGGGACTCAGTCTACTTAAAACATTTTTGCTAGATTTGTAAGCTTATTTATGATTTTAATGCCATAATTTTGCAGTTTGCACCCTATCGACTCCGGCCTGTAGGGGTTTCACCAATAAAGACACAAATTACTTTGATTAATTTTCTGAGATTATTTTAAGTAGTTTTTAATTTGTGTGATTATCAGTTTAGAAATAGCTGATGTATTCGCTTTTTTGTTGCATCAACGCCTGATGACGACGTTTTACCACTGTGCTTTTGGTTTCTTATTATTTCATACGGTTTACTCCGAACTGAATATAGAAGGAAATTTAAACGTATTAATTTCATTTATTTTTCTTTATCACCATCTCTTGTTTATTACAATCTTCTCAGCGCGCAATTAGACGATGTTTTTAACTGCTATCTATCTGTGTATATATATATATATATATATATATATATATATAACTGTAAAGAAAAACAAGTAGAAAAACTTTAAAATTGGTAAATTTTAAAAGGACTTAAAGGAGCTGTATACCTTAGAAACCGAGATTTTAGTAAAAACAAAAACTCCATTTTTCCTTACGCGCGATGAAAGTCTTATTTCTTAAGTTTCCAAAACTGTTTGAATGTTGTTCCTACGTTGATTTAAACCGACGTTATGATACTTTTAATTGACACCTTGTCCTCGAAAAGCATACCAGAAGCGCACAAGACGTCAATATTTAAAAGGCCGAAGTGGGTGTGTCACAGTTGTTTAATTTTATTTTCAGGCTTAAAACTTTATCTAATTGCATTTTAAAGACCAAAAAGTATTTTATGATGGCAACAAAAGAAAGTTCTAGCATATTTTCAAGCTGTGTGTTATGAAATCACTAACGCATTTTCGCTCGTGTTTTGATTCTGTGCTTACATTGCTGATAAGCGCTTTATTTATTTATTAATTTTTATAGGTATAGATAGGTATTGATATAGATTAGGTATATATATTGGTTACTACACTGCAAACGAGTATGAAAGGTTTGATGTTAACCCCGTATCGACAATGCCAAACGACATTCTCTGATTTGGCTTTAAAAAGCAGAGAAAAATGTTAAAACCTGCTAGGAAGAAAAAAAAATGTAAATTCTGAAAATCAAGAGGGCATTAGCTATAAATCAGCAAATTTTAAGTTTACAAACTAATCAAAAGTAGGTAATCGAGTGTTTGAATTCTTTAAATGCGTTTTTCTCGTTTTTCATTTTTGGTGTTTTAATGCTAACATGAAACACAATATCTCTAAAAATTCTGATTTAAATCTTTTGCAAATTGGTATACATACATGTTTAGAACACTTCATGTAAGGAGATAGACTATTTACTAATTGATAAATGCATCTTTTATAAATTTATTATATGTTACACATTCTAGCTTAAAAAATTTTTAAATAACGTCCTAGCTTTAAAATAATAGTCTACTTCCTTGAGAATATCATTATGATGGGTTTGCATTTTACAAAATATGAAAATATATTATACTTTTTTTTAACAGAGTGTTTCTAATTTATTGTAAATATTGCTTTTTTCCCTTGTTTTCTTACTTTACTCCAAAAATACAAAATTAATGGTCATTAAATAACTCAGCTTCTTCATTTTTTCATCATTAATTATTTTAAAGCCAAAATTAAATGCAAAACTTAAAAATTAAAAAAAGGTGTTCGAAGGTATACAGCCCCCTTAAAATGTAAAATCCTCCAATATTGGTGCAAAGATAAAATTTTATTTAATAGAGAATAAGTAAATGAAATGTTATCGCGTACGAAATGTAAAATGAAATTAAGTAGTAAAACTCCTAGCTGCAATATTTTGGCAGCAGTAACGTTCCATGCTATCAATTAAAATAACGACCAGACACGGAGTAATCCTTGTTCAAGGTTCATCTAACGACCTTGAAGAGGACTTGAAGAGCAGCAACCTGCCCCCCAAAGTAGTCCCAAAGATGCTTTATCGGATTCAGGTCCAAAGGATTGAGCTGGCCATTCCATCCGCTTCATACCATGACTCTCAAAATATTCTTCAGCAATCCGAGCTCGGTGCGGTCACGTATTGTCGTCTGTCAGAAGAAATCAATAACCAATAGCAGTGGCATATAGGCGGACATTTTGATCAGTTTGGCGCTATCTCACACCAGTCAAAGTTCCTACATGAGCAAGGAGAGAGATCCCAGCCCATATCATCATTCCAACACCTCTGTAACAGTGTCTTTCCACAACGTGGGATCTGTTGTATCTGTTGTGTTTATCCCTCCAGATCAGCTATTGACCTGAATCACTCTCCAGTGTGAACCTGGACTCGTTTGTAAAGAGAACAGACATCCATTGTTGACTGATCCTGGAGACGTGTTCTCTTGCCCAGCATAAGTGGGCACGTCTTGCGCCCTACGGTGACATGAACAGCTAGTCGTCTTGCATACTGATTTGTATTGTTCAGATGTCTGCGCACAGCCCACAACGGAAACGACGGCAACGAGGCAGCTGACCTCCTTGCAAAGGATGCAACGACTAACATCAACAGTGAGGTAATTCAAGTCCCGTGGCCCAAGTCCCATTTAAAATTTACACTGAATGCAATTGTCGACTCAAAGTGGCAAGAAGAGTGGGATTCTGCATTGCAAGGCAGAAGAGTCCACAATTTTTTTCTCAAAAACTAACAAAGAGGCACTACACTATGACCATGTTCTGAATCAGTATATCACAGAGCACGGTCCTTTCCCCACCTACTTCCATGACAGAGGCATGTGCCCCACGGATCTCTGCATATGTGGCGAAAGGGGTGACCCTGATCATTACATTTTTGACTGTAATCTAACAGACGGCAAACATCTGATTAAGCCTAACAACAATCTAATATCATTTAAGAAATATGCAATAAAGAACAGACACATTAGGGCCAAAATCAAAGACGTTCTTATACATATCCAAAGGACTCGGACTGGATATTTGTCATATCTAATGCTTATTCATCTTCCATGTTATTATTAAACTATATATTGTCTTTAAACTTTTTATTTCATTTAATGTTCCCAACAGTTTCATTTATCTACTCAATGCTGATGGACGGGAGCTCCCAAAGACTTGCTTATTACACCTTCCGCCTTAAAAAAGACATTTGTTCTTACATTAATGCTTTTGGAAGCATCAGTTGTTGAACTTTTCAAGGACAAGGTCTTTTCTCAATATGAGTTGTGTACACTATTAATACCAGAACTCAGTTTATCTCAGAAAGTCCTCTCAAGTGGTTGATGGTAAAAAAAGGGGAGCGAGAGAACCTCAGACCACCCCCGGGGTGTTCTCCCTCAAAATTGGGGTGGAAAGTTTAACAGTTAGCTAGGTTCAGCAATACCTCAATTACCTGTGGTACTACGGAGGTGCTGGCATAGCTTCTACCTGTACCT